GTCGAAGCGACGTGCCTAATGCAAGCACAAACAACTGAATTCCATGTGGGGTACCTGGAGCAGAAATCTGGCAGAAAGGAAGATGAATTCTACAACCTCCACGCCAGTATGCACTCAGGAAGGGACTGCGGCATAGATTCGCAAGATGTAACCGACCAGTCGCACGGACCGAAAAGTCGTCTTACGAAATCCACCCCAGCCAAAAGTCAAAACATGCAAGCAATGCAGCGTGCCATCGAATGCCGCTGTGAAGCCCTACACAAAGTGAAGAAAGTAGCACATGCGGATGCGACACAGGTCGAAGTTTGCCCTCAACCTGCATCCACAAATGCCGCGCGCTTCACGCTTGCTCTATTGCAAGCCTTGCCTGCACCGAGTGCCGTGTGGCTGCCGGCCAGCTGCCCCAATCGACCAAAGTCAGAAGCAGCGATTCTGTTCCCAATTGCGCGCGGTTCTTGCGAACAGTCCGTTGCAGCGTCCGTGCTTGCAAAGAGCAGGTCTGACAAGAAAAGCAACCAGTAATTTCCTGCGCACCAATCGTGCACGACTGCCTGCACGAGATCCACAAACCTGCAGCATCTGCCATCAGAAGGTTGTCTGCAAGACAGATTAGTGGCATCCTCTCCACCACCGCTCGTCCTGTAAAGCAGCTGTCCGTCGGGTTGGACACCATGCTCGATGCAGAAAAGCTCCCAGCAGGCATCGTCGACGGAACTCCCGAGGCAGCTTGCAGAAACAGACGCCGTCTCTGGTAGAGGCTCCCAAACTCCACGCCACACAGCGGAAACGCCTACTGTGTCAGGCAGCTCCGTGAACAGAACCATGCCTCTGCAAGCCGTTGGCTCACCTGATTCAGCAGAAAAGGATTCCGCAAGGTCAAGGCGAATATGCTCGCATGTCTTCCAGCAAATGCCACCAACAGCCTCCCCACCAGAACTGACGACCGCACTGCCAATGTCATCTGGATTCACGCACTCAAAGCATGTGTTCCCATCTGGGCGATCATGCTGCGCCATCGCGGCATTCCCATCTCGGCAAGGCGAATTCCCATGCGGACCATCGTGAAGCACATCTTGGGCCACAAGATCAGCTGAGCCAGTGTAGTCACACCAAAAGCCCACAGCAGCGTCTGAGTCATTGCCGCATGCAAGCTCCGTGGTACCATCCTGCCAGCTGTATTCTGCAAAGGTGTAGTCTGCCATTGTCTGCGAGTCAGACCAGGGATCATCTTCCAGAACACTCCGCATGGTGGCACATGCACAGAAGTCCTTGTACCCTGGGAAGATTAATGTATGCCCAACCATCGCATCGCAGTAGCTAGGCCATGTGCGACATCCACATGTCCGACATCTGGGCTGGAATAGGCGTGCTCCCTTCCCACCAGCCATGGGTCATTAACTGAAGCACTGGGGTCTCTGGCAATACGGTGCGCTGTCGCACCGCTCGATCCGGACCCTAACATAATATAATATAGATATAACATAATATAATAGAAATATAAATATACATACATTAAAGAATATATATATATATACACACACACATTATAGGAAAAATAAAGCCTTAAAGACCCATTGCAGGTGCTGTCCGAGGCTCAAAGCCGTGCTGCGGTCGCGGCGGCCGGTGGGCTCTTGGGGAAGCTGGCGGAAATCCACTCGGATGAGCAGGTACTGGGGTTTAGGCTTTAGGGTGGGTTTAGGGTTCAGGGTTTAGGGTTTAGGCTTTAGGGCCCTAAACCCTAAAGCCTATGGATGCGTAAGGGGTCCATGAGGGCTTCCTCCGTTGAAAGGAGATGGGCTCCTTTTAAGGGAGCCGAAATTGAAAAAGGGTTCCATCGTGGTTTCGTTAAAGGATCTATGTCATGGGTTCGGATTCAGGCAGGAGTTCCCAGACCTAAGTCCTAAGTTGTTGAGGCTTCATGAGATTGCTGTGATCCATATCTGGGGTCCCTAGACCAAGTCAATCGGATTCAGGATGTAGGGATGACTATGTTCAACAAACAGGAGTTTAGTCATGGCAGTCTCACGGTATTGGTGGCAGTGCGGCGGCGCTGATGATGCTGCTGCTGCTGATGATGATGATGATGATGTGATGACTTGATGGCGGCGCTTGTTGCGAAGGTTGAGCCTGCAACATGCACACTCTGAAGATCAAACCGAGCATTTTAAATGCCGCCATCTCACCGTTCCAATTGCACGAGCGGTCGTCAGATGAAGGTGAGAGTTATAGTTCTGAATACATGATGGTTGTTTCCAATTCAGGCGCGACAGTGCCGTAGGTGACTGTTGAGAACAAGATCTTGCCACTGTGTAGTGAACAGTCAAGAAGAGTAATCCTGACGACGACTTTTGTTGTGCTGCGATTCCCACTCTGCTTGTCGTATCTGTTTGCTGTTGTTCGCATCACTAGCGGTGCTGAAAGTGCCAGGCCTGCTACTACCGATTTGCCATTGCCCTTGCTGGTCATGCTGCCGCCGGAGCTATTGCTGACGCCTAATTATTCAGTGTTCTTCGGTGCTTGCTATCGTTTCCGTCCTGCGGTTTCTGTCACAGGCTCGTTCCAAAGTCTGTTTTTCATGTGCCTTGGTGCATGCTTTCATTCAGTTGTTTCTTAGCTTTTGAGTTGTGTTCGTTGTTGTGTCTGGTGGTGTCGGTGCTGTTGCAGCTGCTGCCACTGTAGTGAATCTTGAGCCTCCATGACTTGACGGGTATGTATGGATGAATGTACAAATGTATGATATATGTGTGTTCAGGAGTGGAGTAGAGGGAATCGTGTTCTTTTTTGATTGGAGGTATTCAGGATGCTCTGAGCCTGAGGCTCACAGTGTCCTAACCCCAACGGCGCAAACGGTTGTTGCTCTTGCTCCCTCCTAATCTTCTAACAGTTGCTGCCTCATACAAGGTGACGCACGGCGAGCAGGAACAAGTGGTTGATCCTGAGCCATAGACACGGCCAAGCAAGACAAGCACCAACATCCCGAAGCCCTCAACACCTGAACCCCAAGGATGCTAGTTATCAAGGCCCCAAATCACATGGCCTATACAGCTATGTACGTAGGACCTTTATGTCTTATTTGACGCATGCCTTGGGCCAGAAAACGGGAACGTTTCAACAAATACAATGTTTTTTCAAATTTTGAAAAAGCCATAAAATTTTGAAAAAAATCCTTAAAATTTTGAAAAATCCATTGTTTTTCAAAATTTTAAGGATTTTCAAATTTT